CCCTAAAAAATTTTAAAAATCGTACATAAAATAGATCCAAATTTCACGATAATCCGATTTCACGATAATCCGTGACATTTAATAACATGGTAAAATAATCCTGACTAAGCTTAAATATTCTTGTAGTCGAGAATATTAGTATAGATTTTTGTACTTCATGTCAAATGTTAAGACGTAACGGTAACGGTAAATAAAATATTACGAGGATAAGTAAAAATATTACGGAACAGGACCCAGGACTCGATATTATCATGCTATGTAAATCAGATATTACGTAAACGTCAAATTTTACGACACAAGTCAAATATTACGGCACGCGTCAGTTATGGCATTTTGACGCATCATAATGTCATTGAGTTACGTCCAATTGACGTCATAACTTTACCATATGTCTGCATCTATCTATAAATATAAATATATATAGATAAGAATGATTGGTAAAATAAAGTTGTAATATAACTGTTAAAGAAAATAAAGAAAATTTTCCAAAATATACATATACAATTGTAATAAAAATTAAAAATTTATAAACAAAAATTTTTTTTTAGCACTCAATAATACGTATTTCACGTTTCAAAAAAAAAAATTTTATTGTATAATTTTGGTAAACTGTCTTTTCCAACTTACGTAACTTTTTTTTTTGTAGCATTGTCCTAATGATACGTAAGGCTTATTTTGTGTTATGTTTACCTGTAGCAGAAATATTTTAAATGTATGTACGAACGTACGTATGTATGTATTTTTTATTAATAATATATGTAGTTAATAAAATAATAAAATAATAAAATTTATTACCGGTAATACGCATCAGTATAAATACGTATGCATATACTGTATATTGTAGATTAGGTACGTAACACACTTTTGATAAGGTATAGGAAAATTTCCGAGGGAAGTGATTAACTGTCGTTTTTTAGCATTTAGTAAGTTACGGTGTCAATCCCCAAGTTCCTACAGGAAACCGATCACACCGATCCAAGATCATACAATACGTACGTAAGTACACATAATTTATTTTTTTTTAATTAAATTATTTATTATACGACGTAGGAAATCAAAATCAAAAAACTTTGATTATTGTTGTAAATGATCTTGTGTTACGTACATACATCCAAGTACACCTAGATTTACTTATTCAACAATATCGCGTTGAACAATTCACTTTTTAAATACAAGGTGACAGATAACAATTGGGTTATAGAGTTGGATTATGTAATTTACAACTCTTAAATCTCTGTTCCGAGAATTCAGTAAATATCAACGCAGACTTACGTCATGAACACCTAATTATGTGAATTATATCTCTACATATAAAGTCTAGTCAATAATAAATGAATGCTCAGAACTAGTCATACGAGTCATATGAACACAACTCTAAAAAAAATTTTTTGAAGGGTACCAAAAATTAATATGGACAACCTATAAAACTTTGTGGAGTTTTAAACAATCCGAAAATCCTTTCTTTGTTGTCGACAAAATATCAAGCTTATTTATTCTGGCCCATATTGATTATTACTGTTTTCTTCATAATACTTCCTTTATTTCACTAATAACATAACGCCTGAGTAATAACAGCTCTCTTAAATTGGTAAGCGAAGGTCAAATTACATCTCTGACAGCGGAGGACTTTAGAGTGTAAATTGCATTTAAAAATTCCTTATTGTCTTGACTATTCAATTTATTACTATTCTTGACGTGTTTTCTCCATTTCAAGATAACAAGCACAAACTATATATCCTACATATATCATATACTAAATTCCTACACTTAATACATGACTGACGTTCTCGGCTACGTGACCGATGTTCTCCAAAATATTCAAGATGGCAACTTAGAATATTGTAAGAATTTGAAATATCAGGGCCAGCCTAGTGCGAAAATAGAACAATTTAATACAGTTTTGAAAGGCTTGTTAGAGCGCCATATATATTGGGAGAAAGAAGTGGCTTACTATAAATCTTTACTTAGTGAAAATGATTCTGTAATTATAATAAATGATAACAGAATACCAGCTACTTCGGAGGAAGAATCTTCTCAAGTAACAGTAACAAATCCATCAGCTGCCATTTCTATTTCTCCAGATAAATATGAAACACTTCGTAATCATATTATATCATTTTCACATAAACCGGCCGATACGTTTGATTCTGAAAGTGATCCTGAAACTCCCCCCGCATTGGAACATGATAGAATCTGTCAAGATTGTTTAACCCAATGTACAAATGTAGCTCTAGCTGTTTCTAACGGTGATTTCAAACAACGTATAACATGTCCTTATGCTACCGGTTCAATGCTTACTTTAAAGAATGCAATGAATCTTATGGCTAAAACAATTGATCATGTCTCTGTTGAACTCATTCGTAATGCTCGTGAAGTTGGTGAAGAGGGTAAACTAGGTGTTCAAGCACAAACTCAAAACATTGAAGGTGATTGGAAAGAAATGATGGTACACTTGAATATGATGGCCAGTAATCATTCAGAACAAGTACGAGATATTGCTGAGGTATGTACCGCAGTAGCTCATGGCGATCTAAGCAAAAAGATAACTGTCGAAGTTAAAGGAGAAACACTTGTATTAAAGAACACTATTAACACTATGGGTATGCTTTATTTTATGAATCTTTGAATTAAATTGTTTCTTATGACATATATTTATATTTATACTATTCAATATTCATTTTCAATATTCATTTAGTTGATCAATTAAATTCTTTTGCTTCGGAAGTTACCCGAGTAGCTCATGAAGTAGGCACTGAGGGTAAACTTGGTGTGCAAGCTCAAGTTCAAGGTGTTGGTGGAACATGGAAACTTTTAACTGATAACGTTAATACAATGGCTGCTAATTTAACCGCTCAAGGTTTTCATTAAAAATTTTTTATTTTTTTTTTTTTTCGCATAGATTTAATGTGTAAACCCAGTTATAATCTTTTATGTAAAATTTTAAAGTTCGTGATATAGCTGATGTATCTAAGGCTGTCGCAAGAGGGGATTTAAGTAAAAAGATAACGGTCGATGTAAAAGGAGAAATTTTGGATCTTAAAAATACAATTAATACTATGGTTGATCAATTACAAACATTCGCTACAGAAGTAACTCGTGTATCACTAGAAGTAGGTACTGAAGGCAAACTAGGTGGTCAAGCTAATATTAGAAATGTCGGTGGAATATGGAAAGACCTTACGGACAATGTAAATCTTATGGCTTCCAATTTGACCAATCAAGTGCGTGATATTGCTACTGTTTGCAAAAGTGTGGCTTGTGGTGATCTTAGCAAGAAAATAACAGTCCAAGTCCAAGGTGAAATCTTGGAATTAAAGATTACTATAAATACGATGGTGTGTTTTTTTTTTTTCTTTTTTGTGAACTGTAGTAGATTTTATACAATATGATGTTTTTCCACAATATTTGTGAAATACTTGTGAAATATTTTGTGAAATACTCGTGAAATACTTGTGAAATACTTGTGAAATACTTGTGAAATACTTGTTAAATACTTGCGAATTATAATGTTAAATATTACGATAACGTGTCAATGAAATGCTTATTCCTTTTAATTATAATACGTTAAATAATTTAAATTATGCAGGTGGAACAATTACGTATGTTTGCTGCTGAGGTTACTAGAGTTTCTCGAGAAGTGGGAACTGAAGGTATGCTTGGTGGTCAAGCAGAAGTTCAAGGTGTTGCTGGCACTTGGAAGGTTTTAACGGATAACGTAAATACTATGGCCTCTAACTTAACGGCACAGGGTAATTACATATATCACTTTTTTTTTTTTTTTTTTTATATTAAATTATTATTTTTTTTTTAATATTAATATTTAATCATCTATATTAAATTCAAGTGCGAGATATTGCTACAGTTTGTAAAAGTGTTGCTTGTGGTGATCTTAGCAAAAAGATTACCGTTGACGTTAAAGGAGAAATTTTAGATTTAAAAAATACCATAAACACTATGGTTGATCAACTGCAAACATTTGCAATTGAAGTTACTCGTGTCTCTTTGGAAGTGGGTACTGAAGGAAAATTAGGTGGTCAAGCTGTTGTTAAAGACGTTGGTGGAACATGGAAAGAGCTTACAGATAATGTAAATATAATGGCTGCTAATTTAACTACTCAAGGTAAGTTTTTTAAAAAAAATTGATATTAATATAATATATTAATGTAAATATAATTGTTGCTTACCAATTTTCTTAGTACGATCAATTGCTGAAGTTACTACTGCAGTCGCTAGGGGAGATTTAAGCAAAAAGATCATTGTAGACGTAAAAGGCGAAATTCTTGATTTAAAAAATACTGTTAATTCTATGGTAGATCAACTACGTATGTTTGCAGCAGAGGTAACACGTGTAGCACGTGAAGTTGGTACGGAAGGAATTTTAGGTGGTCAAGCTCAAGTTAAGGACGTTGGTGGAACATGGAAAGAGTTAACAGATAATGTCAATACGATGGCGAATAATTTAACAGCTCAAGGTATTAATTTTTATTTACATGATTCATAATTTATGATGTAATTATTTACTATTTATAATTATAAAATATAGTACGTGACATTGCCAATGTATCAAAAGCTGTTGCACGTGGAGATCTTAGCAAAAAGATTACTGTCGACGTCAAAGGAGAAATATGGGATCTTAAAAATACTATAAACACTATGGTAGATCAACTACAAACATTTGCCACAGAAGTAACACGTGTATCTCTGGAAGTTGGAACAGAAGGGAAATTAGGTGGACAGGCTGTTGTGAGTGATGTTGAAGGAACTTGGAAAGTTTTAACGGATAATGTTAATATAATGGCTGCTAATCTAACAACTCAAGGTGATTATTCTCTGATTATTCTGTGATTATTCGGTGATTATTCTGTGAAATATGGTTATTCGTACCAGAAGATTTAACTTAAATTATTTTATATTTAATTTCCTAGTTCGATCTATTGCCGAGGTAACGACAGCTGTTGCATGCGGTGATCTAAGTAAAAAAATAACTGTAGATGTTAAAGGAGAAATACTAGAACTTAAAAATACAGTTAATTCTATGGTAGATCAATTACGTATGTTCGCAGCCGAAGTAACACGCGTTGCTCGTGAAGTTGGTACTGAGGGAATGCTAGGTGGTCAAGCTGTTGTTAAAGACGTTGGTGGAACGTGGAAAGAGCTTACAGATAATGTAAATATAATGGCATCTAATTTAACGGCTCAAGGTAAATTGTGATGATATAATCTATACTACTAAAATTTTAACGTATATAATAAGTCATCTAAACACATATTAATTAATCATTTTTAAAAAAATTTTTAAGTTCGTGATATCGCTACTGTGTGTAAAAGCGTGGCTTGTGGTGATCTTAGTAAAAAGATTACTGTTGACGTAAAAGGTGAGATTTTAGATTTGAAGAACACAATAAATACTATGGTGGATCAGCTATCTACCTTTGCCGCCGAAGTTACACGTGTAGCTCGTGAAGTAGGTACCGAAGGTAAACTCGGTGTCCAAGCTAAAGTTAAAGATGTTAAAGGAACATGGAAAGAAATTACTTCAAACGTTAATACTATGGCTGCAAACCTGACATCACAGGTAATATTTCTCTTTCAAACAATTTTTGAAAACTTTTTTTTTTTTTTTGTGTATGTAAAATAATTTCAAAAAATTTTTTTTTCCAATTAATTAGGTGCGAGCTTTTGCTCAAATTTCTACAGCTGCAACGGATGGAGATTTCACACAATTTATCACTGTTGATGCATCAGGTGAAATGGATTCTCTTAAGACTAAAATAAATCAAATGGTTTACAGTCTTAGAGAGAGTATAAAGAAGAATTCCGATGCAAGGGCAGCAGCAGAATTAGCAAACAGAAGTAAAAGTGAATTTTTAGCCAATATGTCACATGAGGTAATTTTTTTTTTAAGAAATATCAAATGTTTTAAATATTTACATGTTCTAAAATGGTTAAATTTATCTTCATTTACAGATACGAACACCAATGAATGGTATTATCGGGATGACTGCATTGACACTTGAAACTGAATTGACACGACAACAACGTGAAAATTTGATGATTGTTAGTTCTTTAGCTAATTCCTTATTGACAATTATTGATGATATACTGGATATTTCCAAAATTGAGGCAGGACGAATGAATATTGAACAAATTCCCTTCTCACTTCGTTCTGCAGTATTTGGTGTTCTTAAAACGTTAGCTGTTAAAGCAAATCAAAGAAAACTAGATCTTATATATAATGTAGATAATGGAATACCAGACCAACTTATCGGTGATCCTTTACGTTTGAGACAAGTTATTACAAATCTTATTGGAAATGCAATCAAATTTACCACAGAAGGAGAAGTTGTATTATCTGTGTCATCTCAATCAATTGAAGATGATCAGGTGACGTTGAAGTTCTGTGTTAGTGACACTGGTATTGGAATCCGGGAAGATAAGATTGATATGATATTTGACACGTTTTGTCAAGCTGATGGATCAACCACAAGAAAATATGGGGGTACGGGATTGGGACTATCAATATCAAAACGACTTGTATCATTGATGGGAGGTACTTTATGGGTAAAAAGTGTTTTTGGACATGGATCAGATTTCTTCTTTACGGTTAAGGTGACACTTGGTACAATGACCAAGGAGCATGTCAGTCAAAAAATGGCACCTTGGTATGGTCGACATATTTTGTTTGTTGATACATTACACGATAAAACTGGAGTAGTTAATATTATAGAAGACTTAGGACTCCGACCAAAGATAGCTAGATCAGTTGAAGAAACAGCAATTATCACCGCATCTCGTAAATCAGACACACCTTTGTTTGATACAGTAATTGTTGACGATTTAAATATCGTCGAAAGGTTGCGAGAGATCGCACATTTGAGATATATTCCAATTGTATTATTAGCACCAATGATTCCAAATCTAAATATGAAGAATTGCATTGATCTTGGTATTACATCATATAGTAGTACACCTACAAGTACACCAGATTTAATGAATGTTTTATTACCCGCACTTGAATCTTATGCATCAGTACCAAGCGATTTTGCAGGACAACAACCATTAGAAATTTTAATGGCTGAGGATAATATTGTAAATCAAAAATTGGCACTCAAAATATTAGAAAAATTCGGACATAAAGTTGAAGTAGTGTCAAATGGTAAATTAGCTGTTGAACAATTCAAATGTAAACGTTATGATCTGGTAAGGTTTATTATTATTTATTATTATTATTATTATTATTATTATTATTATTTAGGAATTTACAATATTTGATGTTTACAATGAATAATATTATCTAGATTTTGATGGATGTACAAATGCCAATAATGGGTGGATTTGAAGCCACACAGAAAATACGTGAATATGAACAAGACAAAGGTGGTCATGTACCTATTGTAGCGTTAACAGCTCACGCAATGATAGGTGACCGAGAGAAATGCCTCTCAGCTGGAATGGACGAATATGTTACAAAACCATTAAGTTAGTAACTGTTTCTTTTTTATTTATAGCCCTGGGATGTTTTTTTAAGATTTTTATAATAATAATTATACTTCTTCCTAATCACATAGGGACTAATGATCTAATTGCTACAATAAGTAAATTTCTTGTAACAAATCCAATTGAAGATGTATCATTAATTTCCGATCATCGCAACGCACCTCAAGTGTAAACCTACGAACTACCTTTTAATCATCTAATTGGACTTTAATTTTTATTATTATATATATATATATGAATTTTTATTTTGAAATCAATGAATTTGAACTTTTTACTTTATTTATTTTTTTTTAAAAAAAGTTTTTTTTTTTAAATATTGTTTCGCTTATATATATATAATTGTATATTAATATTTGTTTTGAGTTCTAAATTTTTTTAACTTAACAGTTTTGGTTAAATCTACACATGTATTTATATATAAGCAATATGTTTGATTTTTTTTTAATGTACAATTTTTCTTTAACTAAAGTCATACTAAACAATACACTCTTGCCGGACAGGACTAAATATTTTAAATACACTGGCGATCATAAATAATGCAGCAAAAAAAAAAAAATCGTTAGATCATGTTATCTCGCGCAATTCGGAACGGATTCCCTTTTTTTTTT